GGGTTCCTAGGGCTAACAGGGTACTACCGAAAGTTCGTACAGAATTACGGCCTGTTAGCAGCCCCGCTTACCAACCTGCTCAAGAAAAATGCCTTTCACTGGGATAGCACAGCCGAGGCAGCCTTCGTAGGCCTAAGGGAAACCCTCTCTTCCACACCAGTCCTCCAGCTACCAAACTTTGATCTTGAGTTCACAGTCGAGTGTGATTCTTCCGGCACGGGCATAGGAGCCATCCTTCAACAGCAAGGGCACCCGATAGCCTTCTTCAGCCGCAAGCTAGCTGACAGCCATCTCAAATTACTTGCCTATGAATGTGAGCTCATTGGCCTAGCCAAGGCAGTACAGCACTGGAGGCCGTACTTGTGGGGCAAACCCTTCGTCGTCAAAACAGACCACTATAGCCTCAAATACTTGCTGGAACAACGACTGACCACCTCCCCACAGCAACATTGGGTCAGCAAGCTTCTGGGGTTCGACTTCTGAGTGGACTATAAGGCAGGATCCTTGAACTGTGCAGCGGATGCCCTGTCTCGACGAGAAGAAGATAGTATGCTCCTCCATGCGATCTCCCAACCACGAGCCACCCTGCTAGAAGACATTCGGAACACACTGCCACAATCATCGGAATGGAACAACATAGTCCAACAAATACAGTCGGGGTCTGCTAACCCGAACTGGTCTCTCCATGATGGGCTGGTATTTTACAAAAAGAAGATTTACCTACCTGCTGATTGCCCCCTCATCCCCTTCATCATCGCTAGCATACACCACTCGACACACGAGGGCATTCAAAAAACGTTGCATCGCATTCATGCTGACTTCCACTGGCAAGCTATGAGGGCCTCGGTACGGGACTTTATCCAGAACTATACAGTGTGCCAACAGCAAAAATGGGAAAATCTGCACCCTGCAGGCCTGCTCCAACCCCTCTCCCTCCCAACGCAGATCTGGGCCAACATTGCCATGGATTTCATCGAAGGGCTTCCCAAAGTCGGGGGGAAGTCAGTC